AGACGTGTGCTCTTCCGATCTTCACCAGAAGAAAGATAAAAGATAAATCTTTAAGTATTAAAATTTAACTACTAACTGATTGGTTCTTATCAATGTTACTTACATTATTTTTCATTTTATCATGAATTACAGTTTTAACTTAATACTTTCTTTTTCCAAATATTCCTTTTCCAATATTTTTAGTTTAGATTTGCTAATTTGTATTTCCAGATTATTCACCCGGGAAAAAAAGTTTCACATACAATTATATACATATAATTATATACAATATTATATACAAAATATTGGAACTGATTAGAAAGGCCACGAACGGGTTATGGAACAACACGGTATATAAAGATAATGACTTTATTTTAGAAACGTGCGATTGACACGAGCAGCGTCTTAGAAGTGAAGAAGAGTTAAAGATGGATGGCGGAAACGCAGCTAAGAACCGAGAATATAAAGATTGACTAGATGACAGTACTTTACAAAGTCTGTTCGTAGGATCGTTCGTACATTGGAAACGCGTTTCGCGCTAACACAAAATATGTCCATATATTTTTTTTCTTTGTATAATTATTGTTTGATACAAGAAAAATGATTATAATAAAAAGAAAATATAAAAAATAATTAAAAGGATAATTTTTGAATTGTTTTTTCCAAAAATTCAAGTTTTAAGAAATGAGAAAAAATTGTCCATATAAATTATATATGTATATTTTTAATCATTTATATACGATTATATATGATTATTTGTGGCGATCGTGGCGCGAGGAGCAGCGCGGCAGCTTTATAAGCTAAAGATCCGGGTTCAAATCCACCCAGAATAATATAACTCTGAAATTGATTTTAATCAATTCGGAAGCGATCGCCGCCTCTCGGAAGGCAATGGCAAATCACTGAGAGTATCTTTGCCAAAGAGAACCTCTTCTTAAAAAATGGCCGTTCGAAACCGGCGTTAAAATGTAGGTCCCGTATATCTGCGTAAAAGTGTAAATAGCGCACATCGCAGAAATACGAGAAGAGGTCACTACGCTCTGTCAAGAGTAGTAGGACTATTGATTGATATATGATTATATATGAGCAATTTTTCTCATTTCTTCAAACTTGAAA